TTGTATTTTATGACAGTTAAACAGGAGAGGGGTATAGCACCCCCTTTTCCTCCCTCGTCTCTCCCCTGTAGCTGAAGGAGGGGAGAGGAAGCAATCCGTTTCTTGCTGTAAGACGAGGCTTTTGCCAAACCACTGAAGGGTACATTCTGGCGTCCAGGAGGCTTTCTTCAGCTGTTAAGGAAACTCACACAGCTCAATACAAGCCTGCCTTTTGCATCCTGATGTAGACGGTGCAAGCCAGCTGAGTCTTGCCTTGAGACTCTCCACATGGTTTCTGATTGACGGCACTCCTTTTATTTTGCAGGAAGAGGTTGGCCGTGTTTCAACACACACACTGCAGAGCCTGACATCCCTCACCGAATATACTGTTGCTAATTTTCTCCCTCTATGACGAAGGGCAATCTGAGGCACTCACTGGCAGCTTCACCACGAGTAGTCTTGGCTGCATTTCTGAAAGCTATCCAAGCACAACCGTAATATTCCTTTGCTTTTCTGGAAAGAAAAGTAATTGCAACAGTCTCGCACTGCGATTTTATTTTATTTTTAAGGAAAAGGGAACGTAATAGCCCCTCGACTTTTCATTCACTCGACAGTTTAGAAACTTGAAATTAAAAGAAATGCAATAGGCATTTTTGTCCAATATCTTCTAATGGTGGCTACAGAAAGAAAGAGAGGCATTTAAATATTGGATAGCTGGGAGGCAAGTTGGGTTTTGCCAGTTTGCTGAATAAATTATGTAGATGAAGTAAACCCCTCAGAATTCCTTTAAGAAAAGTTTCTTTCCAGCATTTCAGTTGCATTGGGGTGTTCTCAACCGCGAAAAACACACAATTCAGTCAAATTTGAACCTCTTCAGGCTAAGCAATCCCCTGGGCCAAAGAACTGAACTGAAAATCACTCCATGGGATTCTGTCCTCCTCGGCCTTGGTTGCTCTAGTTTTTGGAAATGGAACAAAAACAGCCAATTAATTCTACCATGTTTATAGGGTGCCTTGGAGAGCTTTCATAGTGCTTCTCTTCAATCATCTCAGTGATCCTTATAACAAGTTTTCTTTCCGATGCGATACTCTCTTGCAGAAAAGTTCCATCTCCCCAGTATCTGGAAATCAACGAAGTATCCACAGATAGCTTTACAGTCAGCTGGAAGCTGCCATCCTCAGACGTTGCCCTTCTTCGACTGGCATGGATTCCTCTGGGTGGGGAAGAAAGCCGAAGAGGTGACTGTTCTTACCTCTCGTATGGTATCCTGTATATTAACAGCAAGCTCATGCTCCAAGTACAGCCGTACCTTGGTTTTCAAACAGCTTAGTTCTCGAACGTTTTTGGCTCTCGAATGATCGAAACCCAGAAGTGACAATTCCGGTTTTTGAACATTGGAAGCCAAACGTGTAACGTGGCTTCTGATTGGTGGCAGGAGCTTCCTGCCACCAATCAGGAAGCTCTGCTTTGGTTTTTCAAATGTTTGGAAGCCAGACATCCAACGGGGCTTCTGTGGCTTCCGATTGGCTGCAGGAGTTTCCTGCAGCCAATCGGAAGCCGTATTTTGGTTTTCGAACATTCTGGAAGTTGAACGGACTTCCGGAACAGATTCCGTTCGACTTCCAAGGTACGACTGTACTGGTCCTTTCTCTTTTGGCCAAAACAACAACATTCATGCACAAGAGCAGGCTCGGGTAAAACTCAGGATTTGCAGAAGTACCAAAAAAACCCCCTTTAATATTAATATTTAATGTTAATTTATTATTTCTACCCCGCCCATCTGACTGGGTTTCCCCAGCCACTCTGGGCGGCTTTCAACAGAACATTAAAAACAGAATAAAACTTCAAACAATTAAAAACTTCCCTAAACAGGGCTGCCTTCAGATGTCTTCTAAAAGTCGGATAGTTGTTTATTTCCTTGACATCTGATGGGAGGGCGTTCCACAGGGCAGGCACCACTACCGAGAAGGACCTCTGCCTGGTTCCTTGTAAGCTCACTTTTCGCAGTGAACCGCCAGAATGTCCTCGGAGCTGGACCTCAGTGTCCAGACTGAACGATGAGGGTGGTGATGTTCCTTCATGTATACAGTGCCGAGGCCATTTAGTGCTTTAAAAATCAACACCAGCACTTTGAATTGTGCTCAGAAACGTATTGGGAACCAATGATGGCGGCGGGGGGGGGGAGCAACACTAAGGAGGGGGCAAACCCAAAAAGAGCTCGGTGAGGACTGAGCATATTCAGTGGCCATGGAATTCAGTGGCATGTTATTGCAGGTACCAGAGTTGTATGAATGAGTAACAAATCCCACTGAGTAGCCGAGACAGATGATACAGTAGTAACTTGGGTTACAGATGCTTCAGGTTACATACACTTCAGGTTACAGTCTTCTAACCCAGAAATATTACCTTGGGTTAAGAACTTTGCTTCAGGATGAGAACAGAAATCGGGCGGCGGCAGCGGGAGGCCCCATTAGCTAAAGTGGTGCTTCAGGTTAATAACAGTTTCAGGTTAAGAACGGACCTCCGGAACGAATTAAGTACTTAACCCGAGGTACCACTATATCAGTTAAGCTTGTGCTTCCAGTGCCGGATTTCCGTATAAGCTAAACAAGCTATAGCTTAGGGCCCCACTCTCTTGGGGGCCCCCTAAAAAATTAAAGGAAAAAAAACCTGGATGTACATTTCCAAAATATAAGATTAAAAAAACAAATAAAATAAAACCTACATACAGCAACAGTGTTTCGTGTTGTGTTGGCTCCTATGATGTACATATTTTGTTATGTGCAAATGGCTTTAGATACCTAATAGGTCCATAAATTACCATACAGCATATATTCAGCACAAAAAACAGCGACAATTTGTTGTTGACAGAGGACAGCTGGACATATAAAGGGCCCCATTACCTTCAGTAGTGCTTAGGGCCTCATCAAACCTGAATCCGCCCTGCACTGGGCACCAAGCTGACAGGGGGGTGGGCACCACAGGGCATTGCAGTTATTTTTAATTTCATTTCTATACTGATTAGTATTTTAAATAAAAATACAGTGGTACCTTGGGTTAAGAACTTAATTTGTTCCAGAGGTCCGTTCTTAACCTGAAACTGTTCTTCACCTGAGGTACCACTTTAGCTAATGGGGCCTCCCGCTGCCGCCATGCGATTTCAGTTCTCATCCTGAGGTAAAGTTCTTAACCCGAGGTACTATTTCTGGGTTAGTGGATTCTGTAACCTGAAGCGTCTGTAACCCGAGGTACCACTGTATCAAAAAAGGGAAAAAGACAACACATTGAAACATCAAGTAAAACAGTCTGGCATAAAGCAAATTCAGTACTGCAGACACAGAGAACAGAAGGCAGGGGGTACTGATCTTTGGCCTCACATAGGGCACTGAGGCTACCAGTGTTCTCAAAGCTACCAGCATGAGTTTGACTAAACTGCGGGAGGCAGTGCAAGACAGAAGTGCCTGGTGTGCTCTGGTCCATGGGGTCACGAAGAGTCGGACACGACTAAACGACTAAACAACAACAACAAAGGGCACTGAGGGCATTTGAAAGTCCCCCCCCCTGCCTGAGAGACATACCTAAGCATAGAAGCTAACTGCTAGGGGCTGTGGGGGTTTTGGTCCCCACAATAAAATATTGGGCAATAAGTTGATGGGCATTCTCATTCAAATGGTGTGTGTGCACTGTGTCCTGTGATCAATTAAACGGGCCGGGGCCTAATTGGGCCCCCACAATATTTTATTCAAGTTGGCACCCCTGTAAAGATATGTAACAAGGGTGCCAGGGGAGCCACCACAGAAAAGTCCGTTCTCATGTTGCCGCCCTCCAGACTTCTGGAGGAGGCACATGAAGAAGGGCTGCAGGGTCCAGGTCGGTTCATATGGGGAGAGGCTTTATAGGTCAAAACCTGCATGTTAAATTGGGCCCAGAAACTAATTGGCAGTTGGGGCAGGATTGGCATTATATGCTGCTGCTACTTCTTATTATTACACAATTTTATCCTGCCTCCCAAGGAGCTCAAGGCAGCATCTTTGGATTAGGGCCTGTTTTCATTTCTCTGAGAAATCTTCTAAAATACTAGGGAAACACCACAGTTTTTATTAATATAATGTTTGGTTTTTGTATGATTAGGTATAACTATTGAATAACTTAATATTAACACAGTCCTCTTTCTGGCAACAGCATACATTTATTTGCATACTTATTATTATTCATGCACAGAACTCAGATTTTTATAGGAGGTCAGAGTATTAGCAGCACTCTATAACATCCCAGAAAAGGTTTTCCAGAGGTCCAGGTTAATTAACAAGATTCCCCCCTCCCTGTTTTCATCTGTGCTTCCTTTGAGGGTATTAAAAGGATTAATATGAAATGGGTGGGGGAGAATCCTTAAGATGAAATATAGTAACTGTCCCTTCAATACAGCTAATTAGATGCAAGGGTGAATTAAATAAGCTTGTCCAGGTGTCTCATTAAATTAAATACATTTGTTTAAACGTTATCTCCAATATTAGGGATTAGGTCTAGTCATTATCTTTGTGCACCAAAATTCATCTAAGGGTTTATGAGTCTGGTAATCTGCATTTTTAAATTGTCTGAGTCATGCAGTTTGTACCTCATTTAAAACAGGAGTGCTTGTAACCTCAGTAGGCATGCTTTTCCTTTCTGAATAATATTACCGCTCAATACAAAAATAACAATAAAAAGGGACGCATGCTGAGTTCACAGACATGGAACTAGACACCCCCCAAAAAAACATACCCATTCAAAAACTATTTATTTATAATCTTGAAATAAAGTAAAATTTGCCAGTTGTCAAATGGATCCTAAAAACACGCACTATCTCATATTACAAGTTGGGCACCAGGGGGCACCTTGTCTCCTTGCACTGGTGTAGCTGCCTAACCTCTGGCCCAATGATGCCAGTTGCCCTGCAAAGCAGAATGGTATCACTTGGGTATATGTAGGCTAACAGAGTGTTATGTTTTATATATTCTTTATATTGTTGTCCCTGGAGGCAGAAAGGAACAGAATCACAACTTACTGCTCCCCTCAGGTAAGAGGGATGCATGGAAATAACACAGGTGAGTATGACATCAGTATATACTCTAAGTTTTCTAACTGATGTTATATTATTATTATTATTATTATTATTATTATTATTATTATTATTATTATTATTATTTATATACCGGTATGTACCACCCTATACCCACAGGTCTCAGGGAGGTTCACAGAATAAAATCAAAATGTAAAACCACAAAATGCATACCGTAATCACAATAAAAACAACAACGCAATAACCCTCCCCCCCCCACCAAAAAAACCCCAACACATTTTAAAAGGGCATAGGATATCAATCAAATCAACCAAAGGCCGAGTTAAAATGGAATATTTTTGCTGGCGCCTAAAGGTGTATAATGAAGGCGTCAGGCGAACTTCCCTGGGGAGAGCATTCCACAAACAGGGAACCACTGCAGAGAAGGCCTGTGTTGTCACTCTCCGGACCTCTTGAGGAGGAGGCACACGAAGAAAGGCCTCAGAAGATGATCTCTAGTTCTGGGTAGGTTCATATGGAAAGAGGCAGTCCTTGAGGTATTGCCGTCCTGAGCTGTTTAAGGCTTTATAGGTCAATACCAGCACTTTGAATTGGGCCCAGAAACTAATTTTATGGCATGCACTAGATCTGCATCACAGAGATGAAAAGTGGACTGTACAGATGAAGCCACCCCAAACCCATATTCATACTACTTAAGAGAGAGGGGTTTCATTTGCCGGTTCTTGAAAATATTCAGGCTCATGTTTTAAGTGCACACAGTAACACCAGGCATATGGGGCTAGCTGCATCCTTCTTGCCTAATACAAAACATTTCTAGGCAATTTGCATACACAATTGAAACACACAGAAACGTGGTTCAACAGTGCCCCTTCAAAGAAGATAGGTATAACATTGGAAACACCAGTAGTAATGATGACCATATTTCTTCAAACGCCTGGAAGAAGAGGTATGTTTTAACCTGCATTGAACAGATGTTAATGTTGGCGCCAAGCAGGCCTCACTGGAGAGATTATTCCATAAATGGGGAACTACAATGGACAGGGAACCTCTCTCTTGCCACCCCGCCCCCCGAATGTTTCTCAGTGGGGCCACCTGGAGAAGTGACTCAAGAGGATGAATGCTGCATCTGTGTATATTCAAAGTGGCTTAGCCAGCTGTGCCAAAACCAGTGTTATATGTTCAAGCTGCTTTGTTCCCATCAGTACTTTAGCTCCTGGTTTCTGCACCAGCTGCAGTTTCTGAGCCATCTTCAAAGACAGCCCCGTATATACAGACCACGATAATCATTCTATCTATGATTTATCACACCAGACAATGAAAAATTACATCATAGATTAGCAGCATTGATCACGCCAGTTTCCCCAGCCAAAAAATACATCATAGCGTTCAGTTAATGGCAGCTTAGGGCAGCAATAGTTTTTAATTCAGTCAGAGCAACTGATCTATGTTTTAATCCATCTGAACAGTTTGGTTTGGGTCTGTTGGGGAAATGCTACCGTAATTCTGCCACAAAAGAAAATGAGACGATAACCCATTGTGAACACATTGCACATTACATTGTTCAAGGTGTTACTGTTTTTTTTTAAAAAGTAAATATATTGGCACTTATCTGCCGCACCATGCATAGTGCCTGCATTGCAAGAGGTTGGACTAGATGACACTTGGGGTCTCATCCAATCCTACAATTATTTAGCACTAGAATATGGAAATTTCTGGCAGAGTATCATGGTACTACAGCAGCATATAATGTTTTTTCTTTCCCCCCCAGAGAAATAGACATATTTTTACCAGCATCTCTAGACTAGTAACTGAAATATCTACAAATTATGAATTAATTTTTTAAAAACCCAGAGTTTGGTTCTTTGTCATTCTGTTTTACATTTAAAAATGTGGTTGCTGGAGGGTTTTTGCATGCTGCAGATACAAAACCAAACCAAACAAAAGCCCTGCAGTTGCCATCCATTAAATCCATCCATTTAATTTGCTTGTAAAAAGATTAGTGCAAACATTAACTGCAGTAAATCGAAAACAATTAGCCATTCAACCATCATGCTGTAACTTTATTAAGCTCTTATCTTTCCAAAACATTTGGTGACAACCAAACCAAAAACCTTGCAGCCAATAGCTGCTCAATTGGTTTTGTGTGTGAAGAGGAGGGACTGTCCTTCCAATTCACAAAAGAAAAATCCTACCGTTATTGAATGCACAAACAATGGTCATTGATTGATAAAAACTTTATTATTATTATTTTAAATAATTTTTATTAATTTCCAAACATGTAATAACAACAAACAATAAAACAAAATAAAACATACAAACAAATAAACATGTATAATTTCATATACTCATTTTCCTTCACCTTATTTCCCGGACTTCCCCATACCTCCCTTTTTCTGCATCCTTATTTTTCCTTTTAACAGCAACCCTCCATTTAATTAATTAACTCATCTTCTTTATAATTCCCTTAGATTCGTGATTTACAGCTGCAATTCTCTGTTTCTTAACACCATAACATCTCAGCACTCCTCAATGTTACAACAATTTTTAAGGTATATTTTAAATTTCTTCCAATCTTCTTCCACTGTCTCACTCCCCTGGTCACGGATTCTGCCGGTCATCTCTGCCATTCCCATGTAGTCAATCACCTTCGCTTGCCATTCTTCCAGAGTGGGTAGCTGCTGCGTCTTCCAATACTTTGCCAGAAGAATTCTTGCTGCTGTGGTAGCATACATAAAAAAAGGTCTGTCCTTCCTTGGCACCAATTGGCCCACCATGCCCAGGAGAAAAGCCTCTGGTTTTTTAGAAAATGTCCATTTAAGGACCTTTTTAATTTCATTATAGATCATTTCCCAGTAGGCTTTAATCTTCGGGCAGGTCCACCAAAGGTGATAGAAAGTACCTTCAGTCTCATTACATTTCCAACATTTATTATTGGGCAGATGATAAATTTTTGCTAATTTGACTGGGGTCATGTACCACCTGTAGATCATTTTCATTATGTTTTCTCTCAAAGCATTACAAGCCGTAAATCTAACACCAGTATTCCATAACCTTTCCCAGTCATCAAACATAATGTCATGACCTATGTCTTGTGCCCATTTGATCATAACTGATTTTACTGTTTCATCTTGTGTATTCCATTTCAGCAGCAAATTATACATTCTTGACAAATTCTTAGTATTGGGTTCTAACAATTCTGTTTCCAATTTCGACCTCTCCATCTGAAAACCTATTTTCCTGTCCTGTTTGAATACCTCGTTTATCTGAAGGTAGTGCCACCAATCTCGTACTTTAGACTTTAATTTGTCGTAACTCTGTAATTTAACCCTTTCACCATCTTGCTCTAAAATTTCACAATATTTTGGCCATTTGGACTCCATATTAAGTTTTTTTGTCTCTTTAGCTTCCATTGGTGATAGCCACCTGGGAGTTTTACTTTCCAATAGATCTTTATATCTTATCCAAACATTGTATAGTGCTTTCCTGACAATATGGTTTTTAAAACCTTTATGTATTTTTACTTTGTCATACCATATATATGCATGCCAACCAAATCTATTGTCATACCCTTCCAGATCCAAAATGTCTGTGTTCTCAAGAAGCAGCCATTGTTTCAGCCAGCAGAACGCTGCCGATTCATAATAGAGTCTCAAGTCCGGCAGGGCAAACCCCCCTCTGTCTTTTGCATCAGTTAAGATCTTAAAGTTTATTCTGGGCTTTTTGCCCTGCCAGACAAATTTTGATATGTCTTTTTGCCACCTCTTGAAATAATCCATTTTGTCCAGGATCTGGAGTGTCTGAAATAAAAACAACATTCTAGGCAATACATTCATCTTGATGACAGCAATTCGGCCTAACAAGGAAAGTCTCAACCTTGACCATATTTCTAGATCTTTCTTCACCTCTGTCCAACATTTGTCATAATTGTCTTTAAATAAATTCACATTTTTAGAAGTCAGGTTCACACCCAGGTACTTCACTTTTTTTGTTATTACTAAACCTGTTTCACTCTGAAACTTCTCTTTTTCTGCCATTGTTAGATTTTTCTCCAACACTTTAGTTTTTTGCTTATTCAGTTTAAATCCTGCTACTTGACCAAATATCTCAATTAGTTCTAATACTCTTTTAGTACTAGTATCTGGCTGTTGCAAAGTCAATACAAGGTCATCTGCGAATGCCCTTAATTTGTAATTTCTGGCTCCGACCTGAACTCCTTTAACCAATTGGTCCCCTCTGATCATATTTAACAAAACCTCCAGGACTGTTATAAAAAGTAAAGGGGATATTGGGCATCCCTGTCATGTGCCTTTTTCTATAGGTATTTCTTCCGTAACCACATTGTTCACAATCAACTTTGCTTTTTGCTTCGAATATATAGCACCTATACCATTTTCAAAACCTTGGCCTACCCCCATCCCTTGGAGATTCTTCTTCATAAAGGTCCAACAAATATTATCAAAGGCTTTCTCCGCATCCACGAAAATCAAAACCGCCTTTCTATTAATGTTCACTTCCAACAATTCCAAAATGTCTATAATGTTCCTCACATTGTCCGACATATGTCTCCCTGGGAGAAAGCCTGTTTGGTCCTTGTGAATCTCCCCTTTCAGCACTCTTTTCAGTCTTTTTGCTAAAATGTCTGCAAAGATTTTGTAATCCACATTAAGTAATGATATAGGGCGGTAGTTTTTAACCTGGTTCTTTTCAGTCTCTGTTTTCGGTATAAGTGAAATAAAAGCTTCTTTCCACGATTCAGGTGCCTTTTTCCCTTCCAAAATTTCATTACAGACCTCCTTCAATGGTTGTATTATCCATTCCTTCAATGCCTTGTAGTATCTAGCCGTCAGGCCATCTGGTCCTGGAGATTTTCCCAACTGCATGTTCTGGATGGCACCCTCTATTTCTTGTCCTGTTATTTTCTCATTCAAAATCATTTTACTTTGATCTGAGATCTTTGGTAGTCCATACTTCTTAATAAATTCTTCTATTTCTTGCTCATCAACTGGCCCTTGTGCATATAATTTC